TGTGTGTGTGTGTGCGCGTGTGCGTGTGCGTGTGCGTGCGCGTGCGCGTGCGCATGCTCGTGCGCGTGCGCGTGTGCGTGTGCGTGTGCGTGTGCGTGTGCGTGTGCGTGTGCGTGTGCGTGTGCGTGTGCGTGTGCGTGTGCGTGTGCATGTGCGTGTGGGTGTGCGTGTGGGTGGGTGGGTGGGTGTGTGTGTGTGTGTGTGAGCGTGAGGAGGCTGAGGAACATCATCTCTGTTCACGCCTCGTAATATCTCGTAATGCTCAGACCCGCTGTGGGCTTCAGATGTGTGATAATTTGGTTCTTGTGTCGGTGTAAGATGTTTTGGAACCGGGAGCTGTTTGGAACGTTGTTGTGCCGCAGGGAGCCAATACTACTCTTATTAATTATGGAGCAGACAGATTGTCTAGACGAGCTGACAGTACGGCGTGCCACCACGCCACACCCCCGATCTTGCCACGATGTAGGACTGCTGTGCTCGGGAAACTGCACTGACTGTTGCCTGCAGGATTTGAGAGGACTGCTCTGTGCGTGGCGTGGTGCCAGAAACATGGACACAACAGAGGCCACTTGAGGCCGACCGGGCCCAATGGAAGTACGACTGCTGGGTAGTTCTTACAACATCGACACGCCTTAGTGAAAGCCCCCTTGAGAACGGCGTCGCCCTGAAATCGCCGTGCTTCAGGTGGTGGGTTGACCCGGCTCGGAAACGCGTCGTGGGCACGGTTGCCGGAGGAAGACGTGCTGGGAACGAATGGGACGGGAGCATGCGAGAGGTGTCAGGAAGGCTCGAGGCTGCTCCCATACTTGCACGTCTTCCGAATGGAACACCGCGGCAGCGTTGAGGCATATTGCTATGTACGCATGGGTGGCACAGCACCTTCAACCCAAGACGAAAATGCGAGCGAGCTCCCATCTCGCGGCCTTTTTCTCAAACTCACGGTCCGAAACTCCTGACTCGGCCCATCCTTCTCTCGCTCGACTCCTGCCTGAGCCGCTGCTCATGACTCGACCAATCTTGCACGAGTGCCAGCATGCAAACGAAATTTCGATGTTCGTACGGAACTCTCAACTCTCTTCTATAATGCACGGCCTTGCCGGTAAAAAGAACTATCTGAAACAAGTTGAGGGACTTGTTCATGCAGGTCTGCTCGAAGCAGCAGGCACGGCAGGTTTTCTCCCTGACTGCACAGGGGCAATGCAGATGTTCAGATCAGATGACTTCGAGCATACATGCTTGACCCGAGCCAAGTCGATGACAAGCCCGGGCTTTGCACTTCGACAAATGTGATGATTTTGAGTTTTTGAGTGCTTGGAAGCCTCCCATCCTGGGAGAGCAGTTGTGCGAGTTTGCAAGCAGATCAATCGCGGCAAGTCGTGTTGTAATGCATGGCATCCTCCACCACTGAACTTTCCTACCGTATCTGTTAGTCTGTTCATCTTCATTTCTCGGATTGCTCTTCGAACATGCTGAAGCCAGCAACTCTTTTCTGAGCCCAGCGCCCAAGAAGAACACAGGACTCCGAGCAGAGCAGCTTCCTGAGCATGAGCTCTATCAATTACAGAGACGACGCTGAAAGCTTAAGCCATCCGCCAACAAAGCAGACCAAGCCCAAAAGCCTACAGGCGCCACGCTCCGATTGCCTGTCTCTGCACAGCACAGATTCCGGCCTACCCCCTTGTTGAGCTGCGCTGCCTTGCAGGGCATGCAAAGCTACTGTTCTTGTACTGCACATGCAAAAGCACACAAACATACATACATACATACGTACATACATACGTACATGCATACATACATACATACACATGAGACAAAACACCTTCACTCGACCACACACGGGATTTTGCAGTCGTGCTCCTCCAAGTGCACACCCCCTACGAAGGGAAGCGAGGATGCTTGCAGTGCACCTCCGCTAGAGATTTGGCTAGATTGACAAGCAACACTGATAATGGTTACAATCGTACCAAAGGGTCCCCTCAGGACATTCGGTCCACCTTTCTGCACATTGGCTTTGTTCCGTACATCCCCCAGCTCTGGACTGCATGCGCCTCCCCTGTTGTACTTCACAAGCACTGTATCCTCACAACTGGTGACCCCTGAATCCCTCAGAGAACCCGTTGCAAACACGTTGTCAGAATGGCTTGTCTTGATGGGCCGTTGGGCGGCCCAGGTTTAGCCGTTTCCGCTCCCCCATGCTTGTTTCCACATGCATCGTTCAGCGAGCCTCGGGCGAGCTAAGCTGCTCTGGACGGGAGGAAATCCGGCCTCGGACACGAGCCACAAGCGTGCTGCCGCTCACTGCTCTGGGGCTCTTGAGATCTGGGCGAAGCTCGTCCAAAGCTGCGAGCACGGGAAGTAAGCGGCCAAGGCGCCACAAGGTGGACCTGACCATGCATGGCAAGAATGCTTGGACATCTCAAATGGCTGAGCCCTGCGTACCGTGCAGCGAACCATGTTTTCGGCCACGAGATACCAAGCTCTAGCTGGGTCTGTGCTTCTTCCATCTGGGAAACACATATTTCGGCTTGCCTGCCGTTACTTCAACGACGAGGCACACAACTCTGATACCCGTGTGGGTCCATCGTCATGCGCACTTCGATTCTGCGCTCCGCTCCAACATGTAGAGTATTCGATTTGTGTAATGCGGCTGGTATCTAAACCAAGAGAAGACAAGCCCATCCGATGTGCTGAAATGAAAGCGAGACGAAAAAGCGAAGCGTCACTGGAGCATCGCTTGGGCCACCTCCATCCTCCTGCCACGCCCATTTGCAGACACTGCTCCCGTCATTGTCTGATCAAAGCTGGTTGGCGCAGGACGCTGGTATGTGCTGGTGCAGCCTGGCCCTTCTTTTGCCTTTCACATGCAGGCGGGTTTTACGCCGAACGCGTAGGGAGGCGGCGCCACCGACCGTGGCATACGAAGTACGGTCACCTGCACAGGTCCACAGGGCGGTAAAGCCGCCTCAAGCATCAACAAGAAGCTCCAATGACATGCTGGTCAGGAGAGACTGAAATAAGAGCCTCCACTTGTGCGCCGTCTTCCTCGCAGCAAGGAAGAAATTTGCTATGCACATTCCGGATGTTAGAGGCATAGAGCTGCCAGGATGCTGCCGTCTCGAGAATCCTGATGTCCGCATCCTCTTGGAGTATTGTGCTTGCTTGGATTCGCAAGTTGCGAGAGTGCAGTCCTCTCCATTGATTTTGAGGATGAGATCATTCTCCCGCAGGGTTTCTTGCGGGTTTGCCTCGTTGTGCTCGTGCACAGTACCTCCAGCTTCGAAGCTGCAGCTAAACTTCACCCTTTCGCTGTGTCTCAGCCTCCCCTTTGCACTTCACACTTGCAGGCACCTTCTGGCATGATCTCTATGATTCGCCAGAGATGGTCACCACGTTTTGCAAGTTTCCTGGTCCAGGGAAGCAGAGGGACAAGTCGAACTTTTTCAAGCAACATGAAGCTGCAGGGCTGTCAACGCCCATCCTAGCGAGGCTGCTGATGGAACGATCTGTGACGTCGAGCTGCCGCAGCAATGCAACATGCAGCCAGGACACAATCCATACTTCCCATTTTTTGTGAGTCTCGCCTCGACTGATGCATTTTTGCTTGCTTTACGAGGTCTTGGGTGAGGAAGCTAGCGATACACCGCATCCGAGCTTGCTTGGTGCGGGCAAGTGAAGGACTTCCGCGCAGGTTTCTCTTCCAAGGAGCTGTGATCTGATGGCCACTGGAAACCTTGAGGCGGTCATGCGTTTCGGACACATGTGTGATGCTGACCACTTGGCACAGGAGACCTGGTGTAGCGACTTGTTTCAGAGCTCTGAAAGCAAGTCCCGAATCAGAAGCCCCTCTTGAAACGCTCGGGCCTCCAACGTTGGTAAAATTTCGCACCAAGTCGCATCCAGGCCTCTTGGCTGGCGCGGCTCTTCAGAATCTCTGGCTGCCTGTGGTGAACTTGAAAAAGACAAGCGAGGTGCGCAACAGTTGAGCAAGGGCTGCAGTCCTTAGTTGAAGTTCCAGCCAACCCACTTGGCGCTGAAGTTCTGGAACCTCTAGATGTACCTGCCGCTGACAGTCGGCAAACCCCAGCAGGGCACAGCTCGAAACCCGGGAGAGCACCGTGTGGCCCACTTGTTGCTCCGTCGGCGCTGGCTCCAGAACCCATGTTGAGTCGCTAGAGGCATGCGGGTTGAAAACGGATCCCTGCAGTCCGCCGAAGAATATGCATGAGCAAGAAGTGCGCCGTGGAAGACTTCAATTCAACACTGCCGGTGCCGTGAAGCATGAATGACCATGCGCTTGACAGGACTGCTACAGCATCCGGGCCCGAACACTAGCAGCCGCTTGTCATGCTCTTTGAGCTTGAGACGAACAACGGCAGTCGGCGACAATGCATGCAGGGAGGCCGGAAGGGATGCATGGTAGCACCCTCTAGCACGGAAACAGTCGGCAAGACAGAGTTGAAATCGAACCAGTTTAGTAAGCAGGTCGGCTAGACCTGATCGTGCGAAATGCAGGTGGGTAGTCTTCGCAAAGGTTGTGCTTGTCTTGCTATTTTGGCTTCTCAAGCTGTTTATGCAGAAGAAGAGATCTCATGCGTTGGAAGTCCGGTGGATGCCGCAGGTTGACCGAGCAAGCGAGCTGCGTGGCTGCAGCAAGTCCCTGCTTGAGTGCCAGAAACTTCCGATGTCATGCGGTCATGTCTTGACAACAGCATCTGAGGCCAGGCGCCTGCCCATTTCCAACAGGCACATGACCTCTGCAATGGCATAGAGCTTCGGCAAGAGCCTGACCGAAGCTCGAAAGTGTGCGCGACCGAGCGGGTTACCCCCTTCCCCGCCAGCAGAACCGAAAGAAAAGAGCGTGTGCCTCACACCGTTGGGCTCCGCTGCTTTCCAGGGCTGTGGAAGGCCCAGTTTACGGGTGGCTCGAACGCCAAGGAAGACCTCTCGGACGGGAATGCTGCGCACATGTCCCTTCTTTCCGGCTTTGGGTGCAGCCTCGGAGATGCTGATGCCGTTGCTTAGCCAGTCCAGGCAGGAATACCTCTGCTGGCATCGGTGCTTCCCAGAACTCCAGAGCGGGAGACTTGGGCTCGGGCACCACGTACGCCACAATGAACAAAGCTCCCGTGGTGCCGGTGGATGCCACAGCTCGGATCTGCTGGGCTACGGCTGACCTGGAGTAAAGAACTTTATCTCGCACTCTGAACTTCAGAGGGAAGCCCAAAACCATGAGCTTTGGGGCAAGTGCTCATCAAAGATATAGCACAGGCCAGCGATTGCAAGAGATATGTACCTCATCGGTGAGTCCAGTCGATCCATGACCTTCTCTTCCAGGCTTCTGAACTTCTCTGGGCGCACAAGCTGCGATAGTTCCTGCTGCAATTCACCTGTGCGGCTGCCTCACAAGCACCGGTCACGGCGCTGCTTGCCAGGAGCAGCCCGGGAAATTCCTCAGCAGCGGGACACTCTACGCGCTCAATTTGACGATCTGTCGCATTTGGCTTTGCTGCCTCGGTGCCAGCGGGTGAGCTGACAGAAATCCAGACAAGGCTACGCGGGCTTCGACACCGTGACGCCGAGACCGACCCAGCCATGAAGGCCTGGCAGCGCACAGATACTCGCTTCCAGGGCAACCCAGCTGCCCTGTGCCTGGAGCCAGGTGTGAAGACATAGAGCACCAGGTGAGCCAACCCCAGCAGGGATGCTGCAAAGGCTGCAACAGAGGCCACTTTCTGGCCTCCGGCTGCTTTAATGCGAACGTGCAGTCGGTGCTTCCCTGACATGCGACCTCGTCTGAGCTGCGCCAAGCGGGACGGCTGCACGCCTTCTTGCACAACCTGATCCACCTGCGCTTGCGGTCCGCACAAAGAGAAAGGCGAATTGGGCACATAACAGGGAACTACGCTCGCATGTCCGGTCTCTGCATGTCCCTGCCGTAGCCTCCTGCGCTTTGCAAGCGCACAGCCTTGAACTCGAGACTCTGCTTCCGGGGTACATCCTGGCACTCGCCAGGAAGATGTGCAAAGTGTTCAGGGGTTGCTCCTCTTGTTGATGATCCCTGTGCCCACAAGAGCAGGCTTCTCATGAACTGGACTCTGGCTTTCCAGGTTGCAGCAGTCAGAAAGAAAAATTGCTTCACAAACATCCCCCGTACTGTAGTTTTGGTGGTGCCTGGCTAACAGCTCGAGCAACGGGAGCCTGGAGGTGTCAGCCTGTCGAACCTCAGCGTCAACATAAGGTGGTGTAAACAGTCGGATCGCCCGAGGCAGGAGCGGGAGCACGAGAGCGAAGCAGATCGAGCTGTGTGCAAATCAGCATAAATTCAGCGTGGCTGCCCGCCCTATGGACGAAGATTGGGGCTATCCAAGCCCAATAGCCCGAGCCGAGATCTGATTTGGGTATCCAAACCGTGAAACAGCGCTCGTCGGGTTTCTGCAGCAAAACAAAGCCCGCGACTGGCGGTAGTGAGCTCGGCAAGGCAGCACATGGCCTTCTCTTTGACTTGCAGTGAAAAGATTCAGCATCGCAAAGCTGCTAAGCCAATGGCAGCATCGCTCTGCCGATCCGGAGCAGTTTTCGAGGTCACAGCTGTGCGTGTGTAGATGCACGTCTCAGCCAATAATTCGCATGTGCAAGTATGTGGCTCTTGCATGGCCCGTGCGCGGCGATCGGAAGCCTTCTGACCTACTAGTACATCTGCCGTCATTCGATAGACCCAACCAGTCTTTGATACTGTGCAGAACCCAGTCTCTGAGCCGGCGAAACGACAGCGAGATGCAGCAGCACTTAGATTCTTGGATCGAAGCACTTCGATCGTTCGCAGGCTTTTCCCCGGAGCAGGAGCTTGAGTTTGCCTTCGTGAAACTGGGCAGCTCGGCAAAGCCTCAGTTGATGAATGCATCTAGGACAACTTTCGCTGACTCTGCGACAGAATTGACGGAATTCTGGTAACTATCTGCAGCCATCAGACCACATTGGCGCCACAGAATTTTTGGCGGCTTGTGATTGCCGGCATTTGCCTGAGATGACGGCGAACGTGCGGCCAACGCCCCGTTCGTGACATTCTCTGTCTGCGGCTGGGACCATTCTGCAGGCCGCGAAAGCCTAGGGTAAAAGGCGATAGCATTCCCATCGCACACCGTCCAGAAGTGCAAAGGCGACGAAGCTCACACAATGGCGTCAGCTCCGGGCTTTCTCAGCGGCAGCGATCGACGAGAACTCGGCAAGGGCCCCTGTTGGGCCCCTGAGCGCAGGGCTGTGGAGCCGGTCGTTCTTGCTGCTACAAGCACTGGTATCCTGAGAAAGAGCCTCCCGGTGATGTGGTCGAAAGTGCAGTACACTCGAAGAGGCGGGGCCTCATGGATTCAGCGAGAGGGAGCGAGAGAGAGAGAG